TGCCCTTGGTCTGTATGGAGTGATTTGGTCGATATGGCACATCTGTCGATCCTTGGCCCCTAACGAGAAACCTCCGAGCATCTCTAGGATAGTTGGAGATGTCATGGAATCATATCTTTCCTTGGGGTCAACTCTTCTGTGGCGGTTGGCTTTGATGTCACTTTTGTCTCGTTCTTGGTTGAGTGGTTCGTTCTTGTATCCTCTAGTATTATTTTGTCTGTATCATGGTTCAGTAGGGTTTGACATTGTTAGCATAGCTTGGACAGCTTCACTCAATCAATATAAGTAGGTCTGATGATCTTCCATTAGTGGGCCCACCTTCATCGTACTCTTCCCTTTGGATTGTTAGTTCTCCTCAAGATTAACATTGACACATTTTTATGTTCATATTTAGTTAATTGATTCTCTTGCTTTTTTGAGTCTTATAAAAAAGCAAATTTTATTTATTATTTAATTAATGGCTCAAATAATTAAACTCCTTTTATTTTTATGTCTTGGTTCTTATCAATAAGGCGTGGTTGGACTCCTTTCATTCGTCATTTTCTCTGTGACACCTCTCATTTGAGTTGGTCGGTTTCCAGGTGTTATGATGGAGAACGTCTCAAACCTCTCAGGTGACATCCCCTATAACGATCTGCTCCGTGTTGCCTTCGGGAGACCAAAAAGCCGAGATCGCCTAAGAAGGTGAAAGGAAGAAAAAGTCATCATTAAGAAGACAAAAATATTTGCAACTGCACTAGCAAATCAGGTGAGGTCATTTGGTTTGTTCCTGTGCAATAAACAGAGGAATGTTCAACCGATCGACCCGACCTAACCTTCGATCTGACTACTTTTACAATGCAAGATCTGCATGATCGAACATGATATACGGGAAACTGCTAATACTATGTCGATTACAGCATCTGAGCTCTTGGGTATGGAGTGCATCAATCTTATTCGCTTTAATTTTTTATGAAGTTATTTTTCTTTACATTGCCAAAAGATTGGAGTATGTCAATGCATCAGTGCAGGCAAAAGTCAAAGGCTAAGACGCAAAAGTTGAAGCGTTAAACATGTAAGACAAGATTACTAACCTGGAGGAAGATGTCGTGGAGCTAAGGGACCACGTCGCTATCCTGGAGGAGAAGGTAGAGGCTGGCTCGGATGCAGCTCACGGAATGTGTTGGGACTTAGATAAAGTGAAGGCCGACCCACTCTAGTTTGATCAACAATTGAGGTGTCCATATTTTGGGCCATTCATATCCGACGGCAGATTTGTTTTGGATAGGCTTTTCCAATCCGGTTGCATGTCTCCAGAGAACATTAAAAAAAAAGTCTTAACTCTTTTTATGGTGATCCTTAATTGTGTAGTACATACATGTATATGACTCGAAATTTGTGAATCGATTCAACTTATGAATAAAAGATGGAAAAGCATTTTTGTGTTCGGCCATACCGTGATTCTTTGGTAGTGTAGTCTTGTGTAAGTCCCCTGGTGTCACGAGCTCGATCCCGACTGAGTACATCTGCCTTGCAATGCGGAATCGAGTGGTTAGGCACATGACTGGTCGGGGTCTCGTATCATAACATATGGACATTTTTTAATATATATGTATATACATATATATATATGTGTGTGTGTGTGTGTGTGTGTGTGTGTGTGTGTGTGTGTGTGTGTACATAAATATATATATTATATACGGAATGATCTTGTGATTTGTGCCTGATAGTGATGACTATTCATTCTATAATTGTAAGATTGTTCTCTGATAGTTTACTGAGTTACCGTTCGGCTCAAGTCCTACACTTACCATGTCTAGTTCGCTCGATTAGGTCATTGCCTTGGATGGGTTGCACCATATGTCATACGTATTAGTTTGATCTTGTTGCAGTCTTTGTGGGGATAACCATCTTGATTAGTTCTTAGGGTGATTCATTAGCCACCCATCATGTATCTTGTCACTAATTGGTAGGTAATCTCACTGCATGAGCATTGTGTATTGGATTTTGATTTATCGATCGGACGTGGCCCATCGTTGTCAATTTTTTCCACACTGGTGGAATCATTATTAGCCTGTTGGTTTGAATTCCTTGAGTGTTGGTCAGATTTTGATGAGGAGCCTTTTTAAAGACTTTTGAACACTAGAAAATTATGTCATGATCATCTTCTTGAAATCAATAAAATATGTGATTAGTCATGGTGGTAGCCTGTTGAACCATCTAAGGGTTGACCCCCTTAGCATGGCAAAGAAAAGATGACACTTCAATGCATTGTTCATCCTAAGAAGGCACAAGTTTGATACAAAGGAAGTGATATGGTCGACCAGATCTGATCGACTCTTATAGGAATCAAATGTCAAAATCTTGGATCATTCTAGTGCCCTGGCCTCTGAAATTTTTCTTGAGAAAACTTTCTTGGGTTGACAGGACACCTCATACACCCAAACCAATGTCGATTGATCAGTGCTGAGCCAACACTATCAAAGTATTGGGACTCACCTTCCCTCTCCAAAGTTGAAAGGGCTCTTATGTAAATGTGTGTCAAAATGTCTTGTTAGGTTTTTGTTCTTCCTACTGATTTAGCACACATCTGATCAATTCCAACATCTGTTATATCATAATTTAGACTACTAGATCACAAAATCTCAGTCGCACTTCATGTTACTTGTTTCTCAATCATGGGTTTCTTCAACTTGAGCTTCTCCTCTTCTTATTGGTGGCACAATCTACACTTAGTGCATTTTTTTAGGATGTTAAACTTTGACCTTTTAATGAATCATACCAAGGGAATAGATCGTTAGTAAGGAGAAGGAGAGAGAGATAGAGAGAGAAGTAACATTGATGGATAGTAATATGTTGTATCAATTGTGTCTTATACATAAAATATCTTCCCTATTTATAAGGTAGATGGTACAATATTGCGATGTTACATTTTTTTCCTTACTTTAAAGGTGTCCATACTGAGGTATTTTTGGTCTTTTATATGGGTAACCTTGTTGTTTGGTTGCTTTCTAGCTTGACTAGCTAGGCTTATTTGGCTTTAGGTTGGCAAGATTAGCTCAACAGGTTGAAGTCCTCTTAGTTGGTTGAGTTTGGATGATATGAATCAACTTAGTTATTTGAGATTTGTTAATAAGGATCAGCTAAGTCGATACAGTCTAGTTATCAATCCTCGGCTCTTAATGAGGAGCCTCTAAAATGGTTAGAGATGTTAGAGATGTTAGAAAACTAGATCTTTCCTCGGATCAAGTCTCTTATGGTGGTTGGCTTTGATATCCTTTAATTTATTTCTGGTTAAGTGGCTTGTTCTTATGTCCTCTAATCATTTTTTATTTATTTTATGGTTTGGTTGTGTTTGACATTGTTGCTCTGGCCCGGACAACTTCTCTAGGTTAGATAAGTAGGCCTCATAATCTTATGTCAGTTGACCCACCTTCGTTGTACTATTCCCTTTTAGATTGTTAGATCTTCTCGGGTTCAACATTGTCACATTTTTTTATGTACACAACTTTAAATATTTATTATTGTGTATGTTTAAAGTACACTGATTTGGATTTGATAGCTTTGGATGGGACAGGTTTCAATGGATCAATTCAGCAAATGTAAAAAATATGCCATTTGACACAGAACAAACTACCTAGCTGACCAAACTGAGAAGGTCGACTGAACAAGTAAATGAATAGCTCATCAACGTAGAAGCAAGCAAGAAAGATGATCTAGCAAGAAAGGATTTGGCTATAGCAATGTATTGGGACCAACAGTAGAGACTCTCAAGAGCATTATCAACATTTTACAATGTAACATCTATTTGTTATAAATATGAGAACAATGACATATAAAGTGAACCTTTTTTGTGAAAGCACAAGGGGATTACTAGTATTAACCTCCTGAGACTCCTGTCTTTAACTATTTCTTTCTCTCTCTCTCTCCCCTCTTACATTATATTCCATGGGTGAGATTCATAAACAAATCTAGGTTCAATTCCTTAAAGAGTGCAATGAGAGTGGGTCATGCCACAAACAAGAAGAAGAGCTACTCAAGGAGAAGAACCCAAA